ATATAACCTAAATGTGCTCAACAAATTTGCAAAAAAACCATTGTTTATAGGTTTAGTGGTTATTTTGCAATTTTGTTGTATTCCGATGACCGCTAGCTTGTTTGTCACCATATACTACAAAAAAAATGTTTGTTATATTCATTTCATTAGAAATTATATCATAACTGAAAATTGCAGTTATTTAAATTCTATTACATATGGGACATAAAAAAAAACTTTAAAATGATGAACACCAAATGCAACTATGAATCACAATGATTATCAAAAACGATACGAGCTTTTTAACTCTGATATATTTGTATTCTTCACATAAACATTCATGTTAAAAACAGTATTTAAATGGAATATATTATTTCAGCCAAAGGTCTGTTCAAGCTGTTGGAAAAATACAGGCCGGAGACTGAGGCAGTCAGGAAAGAGAGACTGAGGAAAGCTGCGGAAGCTAAGGTTTGTGCATTCTACATAATAGTGTAAATATTTATATGTTTTTGACAAATACATTCATAAATGTAAAATTTACTGTTAGAAAGCCAGATTATAGTGTTAGTAATGGATGACTGTTAATGAGAAATTGGAGAAAAATCTCTTCCCCTTATCTAGGTTTTATGTATATTTACTAATAACATCATAAATATTAAAGAAAATGAAATTGAGTTTGTTTAAAGTAAGTAGTCTATGTTTTTTCCAGGCTATGTTCCACATCTGTGACAAATTTCATCAGATTCCATTGAGGCATTTAAGAGAACCTTCCATCCATCCATCTAAACTATAATATACAATTTTTAGTATAAGTTAATATGATGCATAACAAAATAATTCAGATGGCCATGAAGACCTCTAACCACCAAGATCTCTGATGAATCCTTTCTAAGTAATACAAACAACAATTTACAATGTAATCTAATATTATTGCAACATTCCAGATTGCCAAGAAAGATGAGCCGCCAGCGAAGAGGCCCAACACAGTGCGTGCCGGCACAAACACTGTCACCAAGCTCGTGGAGAAGAAGAAGGCTCAGCTTGTTGTGATTGCACATGATGTTGACCCTATTGAGGTAAGTTCATTTAAAATAATCTATACTCATATAAAAAGGAATTATTTTTGTATGTATTGAAATAACTCAAAAACTACTGGGCCGATTTCAAACATCCTTTTACCATAAAGCTGTTAACAGTTCGTAACATAGGCTGTTTTTTATTTTGTAGCGAAAGGCGAACGCAGGCGAAGTCGCGAGCAACAGCTGGTTTAAATTAATTTAAAAAAAATATTAAACTTCCTGTTGCTTGTGATTTCCTTATGCGCGGATTAAAGTAATGTAATTTGTAGTGTTGCATTCTTCTGAACTATGTTCTACATTCCCATAATTCTGGACATGTATAGAAAAAAACATTCTGTATATCTAAAATTTCGCATTTACAGTATTACTAAAATTTTGTAAAGATGTTTTTTTTTTTCATTTAATTTGTAGTTTTTCCAATTTTCAATTGTAATTTCTTGTTTTTATTAAATCTAAGTAAAATTAAATAAACATTTTATAAAAAAAATGTAATTAATTAAAATATTAGAACAAAAAAGTTAATTTTCTGTTACTATTGGCATAATCATACTATTTTATGTAAAATTTAAGAATTGTTTGGCTGATATAGAAAAACTATTGTTTTTATAGTTTGTATGCAAGCCCGTTTTCGTTTAGGTTTTATTGTACTAAAAATTAGCAACTTAGTATTTCTTAAATTTGTTGACTTATTCTAATGATGTAAGAATTTCTTCACCTGAGGCTGTGGATACAAAGATATTTACATGCTGCATGAAGAGTTTTGACTCTGATATCAATCAAACCATCCATCACACCTGCCGTTGTACCACAATTTACATAAGACATTGTTTTTCAGCTTGTGTTGTTCCTGCCAGCCCTCTGCCGTAAGATGGGTGTGCCGTACTGCATTGTGAAGGGCAAGTCCAGGCTCGGAGCACTTGTGCACCGCAAGACTTGCACCAGTTTAGCTTTGACACATGTAAGTAAAGATCATATCTTTGATATAAAAATAAAACATGGTTACACAATAATTTTCTTTGGAATACATAATTTTTAACTTAATTCTCTAGTTGTATATGTGCCAGTATGTATATAATCTACCGTTATGTGTGCCATTGTCATGGGAAATCGCTAACTGGATGCAAGTTAAATTAGGGAACAAATTATTATTCGACTTTGCTTATAACTAGTTGTCACTAGTGACTGCAGTATAAAAGAACTTACTAAATAGCCTATCTTCTACGTTCGTGACAAATTTTATATAGATCTGTTAAGTTTTGGAGTATCTTCTAATAATTTATCAATTTTCAATATTAGTAAGAGTTCAAATGAAATATTTCCACACATGAATGCAATTCGATAATCTGTACTAATTCAATTATAAAATGTGCATAAATGATGATGTATTTGCTAACCGAGTGCCATGCGGACAACTCTTCTACCACCATAATAGATGATCTGAGCTATCTAACAACATTATAACCTATAAATCGTTCATTCTCCATACATTAACAATAAAACTATCGAAGGTGGAGTCTGGAGACCGGGCTTCCTTCTCGAAGCTGGTGGAAGCTATCAAGACGAACTTCAATGAGCGGTATGAGGAGCTTCGCCGGCACTGGGGCGGTGGTGTGCTGGGCAACAAGTCCAATGCACGTATCGCTAAGCTGGAGAAGGCCAGAGCACGCGAACTCGCACAGAAGCAGGGCTAAATAATAAACTTTAATTACGGTTATTTTATCTTTTATTTGTTGAACCCTTTTCCTATTATCTTTAAAAAATAAGACAATGAGTTCGTAATGCGTTTGCCGATGGGACGATCGACCCCACAGAGTACTTTGTAACATACTGAAATAGAGACCAATCTTCGGCCTAAAATTGGGCAACACGAAGAAAAGCGCCATCTGTATTTCATAGTTTACAACTTTCATTCTTGTTTTGTTTTTTTTTTTTTATGAAATGGGGCAAACGAGCGTTATTTAAAATAATAATATAGGTTTTATAAATATCTAAATATCTGTGTTTTGAATTATAGATATTTAGATATTTATACACCTATATTATGTTATAAATGAAAAGATTTATATATCCACCCAAATAGTGCATTATACCAATTAGGAAGTAAAAACAAAGGATACTGCTGGACGGTTACTTTCTGCCGTCCCGAGCTCTGGAGGAGTAGGGCTATTGAAACACTGTCTTCACATAGTTAACAATTATATTATAAGTATCAACAATCACATTTTATACAATCTCATATTTCATATATCCTACGGTGTTACGCGGTACGTATTGAGATGAGAAATCATACATAAACATCAGTGACATCAGTTGTACAAGTTGTAGTACTTGATGCATACCTTAAAATAATAATCTGTTATTTTAACAAAAAATAATAAGGATAGTGACTAAAACCGTAATACCATATGGCAATAACATTTAAAATCTGAGACTAATGGCCCAAATAAAATTTTCCCACCTTCTTACTGGTTACATCTTATTTAGGATTATTGCACTCATTAAAAGCATGCTTTAATGTACAAAAAAAGTCTAAGAGAGATTAGTGTAACAATTTACTACTTTTGCTTTACTGCTATAAATATGGTTGTGAAAGAACCAAATACATGTTAAAGACAAAACACTACAAACAAATACTTAAGTAGTCCGGCAATGTACAGAGGCACTAGGCCATATATGTGGACTATAGCTATAAATTCTCATTATACGAGAGGAGACGTCTTACTACTGGATAGAGACAGTGTTATATAAAAGTCTGTAATGTTCTGAAAGTAAGTAGACATAGAAACAGACATACCTCCTCTTTCTTTACAACCAGGACTGCACCTACCTAAATACTGTTGAGTATTTTCAATTAAATGATAATACAGAGTACTTTAACGATAAATAAATGTAATAGACATTTTACTTATCGAACTGACATTGAATTACAAGTGACAATTAAAAAGAAGTAAATCAGAGTTGAAAAAAGGTTTCATTCAACAAATACACTAAAAAAAACACTACAAGAAGAGCTACTAAATAGCGGCATCTATCGTATATTAATTGAACTAGTAATTTTTTATTGGTAAAACAGCCATCTATTACTGCGCGTTGGCATATATAACAAATATAATACTACTAAAAACAAAATTAGTCTGTTTCTTATTATCAAAATAGATTTAAGTTGCTCCGTTATATTGCAGTATTTTATCTTCGGATTTCCAAGTTAAATGTACTGAGATTGTGCACCCTGATCGACCCGATGGGAAAAAATCTCATTGGTTTGATGGATTGGCTGAGGAAAACATCCATACGAACTAAAAACTAGGGGGCCGCCTGGCGCCGATATGGTTTTAAAGCATATGTTATAAAAGTAATTGGTAATTTCTGTACAATTATGTTCCAAAGTAGGATAATCACCCTAGACATCCAAGGTCGAGGTAATTCGTACTTTTGTCCAAATTGTTAACAGCGCCATCTAGTAACAACTATTAAAATTAGGTAAGCATTCTAATTATAGTGTAGTATCAGCCAAAGATGGCGTTAATTTATTATATAATGTAATAGTAATCTAAAGATATAAAATCGCAAAAGACGTAATTTTAATGTATGTGTTATACAGTGAATCTGGTAATTTCTGAGAAAATTAATTCTAAACTAGAAATTGGGAAGTAGCTCCAGAAATTCCAGGTCCAGGATATGCATATGCGTATCGCTTTGACCAAATTGTTAACTGCGGCATCTAGTAACAACTAGCAAAATTAGTACCCTAATTCGTACAAAGTGTCAGATAAAGATGGCGGTAATTTCTAATACTTTTTTGATGACTGACGAAATTATAGCTCATTATAAGAAAAAAAACTATAAATATATATAGTAAAAGACAACATTATATTTCGATTTAATCAAAATCATAAATAAGAAAAATATCAATGAAGATAAACGAAAACATTGGTTTGTAAAGTAATGGCCTGCCTTATATAAGGGGAGTGGATTTACGACTGATTTTTATCTTGATTTACGTTCTGATAGAATCCAAAACAAATATAGACAGACAAACATGTTTAATTAACCAAATAGATTCAGACATACTGTAGATAAAATATAAAAAGAAATAGGTCACGCAACTGCACATAAAAAATCACTGACTAGATCTAGACGCTAAGTGAAAAGTCGGTTTGAAAAACATACTCTTAGAGCTACATGTTTCAACATGTGGTTAACATTTCCACATAGTGCACTAAAAATCAATATTCAGAAGTTCCAGAGTGATTCCGGGAGGCATCAAAGGAACGAAATTGCTTTTCGGGCTCGACTCTCGCCTCTTTTGATAGCACAGAGCCTGTAGTCTATTTGATAAGAGCGTTCGTAATCCAGTGTTGAAAAGCTACACTTTATACAGAGCTATTTAATTGATGTTTCTGCCTGACGCAGCATCACAATTGATAAGCAAGATTAGTGTAGAGTTTTTAATTGAATACATCCTTAGTGATTTTTACACGATCGAAAAACATAACCTCTCATTCTCCAAAAAATTGGAATAATATTTTGAAACGGACTTTTGACATCATATTCAATATTCACAGTAACAAATAAAAAATAAGTTGTAATGTCTATGATAGCGTTAGTTACATACGCGACTTTGTTAGTCTGTTACTTTGAAATGAAGAATGTTTTGCATTGTTTCTAAATGTCATTGATCTCTAAAACATTCCTTCGTCTTCTGAATGCAATTTCTGTTATTTTATTATACGTTATTCTTTGATCTTTTTGTATAACTTTTCTTATATTTTAACGATTTAACTTCCATAGCAGACATGCAATTAACATATTTTTATTACTTTAGTTGATATAACATTATTAAAAACGCAATAAATTACACACGAATGTCGAACTTTCCTTTGTGATGAATTGCTTTTTTCGTTTTGCCATTTCGATTTAAACAATGACAATTTTATTGCAACAGTTTTATTTGTTTTTGAAGTAGTTTCAGACGATTTTATATCTTTATTGTCCCTATATTTGTTTCATTTTCGATTCAAAATTTTATGTAATGATTGGCAGAATAATTCACAATTTCTTCTTTCTTCAAGTATTTCGACAGTAACATTCAGGGCAATAAAAATATAAAAATGTTCCAATTTTGAATTCGTTTTCAAATAGATTAGAGACATCTTTTTAAACTAATCTCCTAATGAATCTACACTAAGCGAATTTATTAAAGGCTCTGAGAGTGATAGATTACGTCTCGTAATAAAATAATTGCGTGTTGTACGGAGTGTGCTAATGGGTCTATGTTATAATTAACATAACCTCGTGAACAAAGTAATCTATACTAATATAAAAAAGCGTAAACACACACTACTTTGTGACGTAGGATGTCAGCAATCACAGCGTATTTTTGAAAAAAAAAAAGCCCTACAGTAACGACACGCTATAGGCTACAAATTTTCACGCTATTAAACTTAGAAGGTAAATAAATTAGAAAAAAAGAAAAGGGACCATAACATGCTGCCAACATTAAGGAAACAAGGTCATTATGGTAACGGTTAGACATTTGCAATTGAGAATTTGACAAATAAACAATGAAATAAAGCTTTTATAATTCCATGCGGATGAAGCCGCACGGGAACAGCTATTTCAGTATTAAATATGTAGTAATTAGCGCTATGGGATTTCATTAGTAGACTGCATAGTTAAGTTTAATTGCATTTGATTACTTAAAATGATATAACGCACTGTTTACACTTGGCCAGTAGTGTAAACCAGGTTGTTTACATGCCAGTCCAATAAAAACTCTGCTACTGGGATGTACCATTCTGGAAAACACTGGAATATACTTTGTAGGCAAACTTTCAATAAAATAAGTTATGCATGAATTAAATATTGAGTTAAAAATAAACAAAATAATTTTCTAACCTCAAAAAAGTTTTTAATTACTATTCTTTCTGTGAGAAATAATTACAAACTATTGTATTGTCGAAATCATTAAATTGTTATATTTAGGAACATTTTCTAAATCATTTTCTTTATTATCTATGTTAGGATAGAGTTTTTAAATTAAATCGTCATTAATTAAGAACCTTAGTCAAAACTATAACATAACTCAAACTACGGTTGTCAATTACTTATCTGTTCGAAAACAATTCTAAACACACAATAGATATACAATTTCATTAACTCGAGTGCTCTGATGGCTGACTTAGATAACTTAACGCGATCCTTGTTGCAAAGTGAAACGACTTATTAAAATAATTACTTGAAAATTACACTCGACCTTAGAATTGTAGGTTACCTTGGTATCAATAAATGTTACTTTGTTATTGTTATTAATGTTTAAATCTTAATAGCTCAATGGTTAAAGGTCTGGGCATCAAATACGTAGTCATGTGTTCGAATTAAACTCTTGACCTTTTACTTTAACACAAGAGCTTTGTGACGATCAATTAATTTTGATATGAAATAAATAAAAGTTGTTTGTCGTTCTAGAAATGGCGACAGCACTTCTACGAGCGCGCATACACCTTTGATTAAACTATCAACTTTTTAGTCGCGCTTTGATTCCTATAAGCTTATATGGAGGTGGGCACAATTCTCGTATTTTAGTTGTGCAAATAAACTGTTTTATTAGCTGCGAAATAATCGACAATCGCTTAACAGTCGTGCGATAGTCTAGTCAAAAGACTGCGCAGGCTCTCTTCTTTTAAGTACGCAATGTATATTTTTAATGTATTT